GACAACGGAGGAGGGGAACAAAAAACTCCCAAGTAGGGAGAAAGAAAAACCTCTGGAGGTCCAAGGCCAACTGGCTCCCCCCCCCCCCCCGGGAATGCTAACATTATTGAAAAATTATTGATTACCTCACCTGACCACAGGTGTAGCCCATCAAAGCCGTATGAATAGAGGTCATCTCCGACACCATTGCCTCCCCAGCCTTCACCGCCCCCAGGGTACGGGCTGTATCCTTCCGTCAGAGCCCAGCCCACGCGAAGGTGGCCGGCTTGTGCCGTCAAGAAGGGCTCTACATGGTCCACTATCAGCTCGAAATACCATTTCTTATATTGCGTGGATCCCTCACATGTGCCCAAGAAGATGTTGGGCCTCATGCTAGACAGATGGATCAAGATCAAGTGAGAGAAAAAAACTGTAAAATAAATTTCTCCATAAATAAATGTTTATGAGGATGGTCGGTAACCTACAGTATACAAGGCAACTTAGGGTGATTTCACACTTGGTTCCTTTCAACCTTCAAAACGAACTCGGAGCCATTAGTCAGCATGTTTTGCATATGTGTAAATACTCCAAAAGTACTTGGACCCGTCTGAAACAAACTGAACTGAGACCACCTTGGGGAGTGGAGTTCAAAAGAACCAACAGGTGGAACCACAGCCGTTAGTAACAATAGTGTGAACAGAAAGAGGACTGAGGCTCCATCAGAGCTGGAGTGGACTAGAAAGAGATCTGAGTCCACTTTCAAATGAACTCACAATGTGAACACAAAAACAACTGAGTCCCTTTTCTGTTAATCCACTCTTTAGTCTACTTTAAGAGAACTGAATCTGGTTCTTTTTAAAAAGGATAACATGTGAAAACACCCTTACAGTTCACTGATTTTGTACCAGTAGTGTGAGGTTTGTTTTAATATGCTCCATATCAATTTCTAATATCTCACCTTGTGACATAGTTGATAATATTAGTCTGCAGAAGAAGGTCACGTCCAGGAAGCAAGTTCTCTGTGATGAGGTTCTGATTGGATCTCACAGCCACTCCATTACACACACATAAAGAACAGAGCACATCAAGAACCTGAGGAACACAGAACGATTGAAAGAGGAAGAAGGCAAGATATTTGCAAGACCGTTTACATGAATGTCCACATTTTAGAGGTGTCCAGTATGTTACTGACTGACCTTGTGATTACGTCCATGTTTGTCCAGTAGAGAAATGATCGATTTGATGTGATTTTCCTGGATTATATTGAGGACCTCAGGGCTTTCAATCAAAACACAGTATAAAACCTCCAGAATACCTTAAAAATGGAGAAGGATGGTAGACAACAAGAACAAAGCAGTGCAAAGCAGCGTTTGATGAATCATTTTGATGTGGAGAGATTGACTACTACCTGAGGAGGCTTCCAGGCGGTCCAATTTGCTAACAAGCCAGTCCAGATTATCACAAAACAGTGCACAGTTGGTTCGGTTTCCTCGGATCAGAGAAGCTTTTGCAAAATTTCAGGGACAGGAGAAATGGATCAAACTTTAACTGATATTCAGTTAACTGCAGCTATCTGGATATATGTGTCAATGGGATCCCAGCCCGAGTGTAATATCTGGGTTATATGCTAGATTTACCAGAACCCTGTACAGGGTAAGTGATTGGATGAATGAATTGATGAATGGATGTGTTGTGCATACATGTCACAAATTTCAAAAGTGTGTTCCGTACACTGAGAACAGAAGGGTGAGAGAACTTGAAGAACAGTGTTACCGCAATGATGCGCAGACCAACTTTCTGAGCAATATTGCCATGCAATGTTGCTGACCAGTGTTTCTCTGGCACTTTCCTATTGATATTGGGCAACAAATTTCAATTTGAAAAGTTGTAACCAGCATTGGGCAACTTTCTGTGATCATCCAGATCCAGATGAGTTGCCCTTTGTCTTGGCTCATTGGTAGTTGCCCGGCAACATTGCTCAAAAATTCGCCCAGTGTATCATCACCTTCAGACCCGCATGCATGCTGAAGGTCATACCCAGCAGCTCATACAGCAAGTTGACAATCTCCTTCCAGGATTCAGATGCCTCTTCCCCAGCAAATTCTGAGAAATGGGCAGCTGTATTGTAGACGTTGAGGCGATCAATACAGTTCAGCACTAGTGTGATCATGCCCTGCAGAAATATAGAGATGGAGGCTTTATGCAAAAATCAGATTATACACAGTACAGGCAAGGCCCAGGTTACGGAGGAGATCCATTCCCTACGTCTGTCTTTTAGTTGAATTTGTACGCAAGTCAGAAAAATTATATTATAGTACATAATAGTAACAATGCAGTAAAAATAAAAGTAACTACATATGATACTGTACTGTACCTCGAGTCAACGAACTGCTGAAAACAATGTTTTCACGAGCGTTACAAAGTAGTATGTGCATTCATTATTATGGACCTTTGTATTTAACTCAATTTTTTTATAAAATAGGCTTTATGGCAATGTATCCATAAGTATGAATTGTTTGTAAGTAAAATGCTCTTAACCCGGGGACTGCCTATATACCAGAGATGGAAAGTTCAGGTGCAAAAAGTAAAAATCCAGATCTAGGTTTTGTTTTGACCAACCAGTTGAATATAAAGAGTCACAGTCACAGAGCACTCAACTGGTTGGTCAAAAAAAAAAACCTTGGTCTGGATTTGTACTTTCTGCACCTGAACTTTCCACCTCTGCTGTATAGAGAATACTGTTCAGGCAGGCGACAATATACAGTAGAAGGTAGTGACTACATAGAAATGTTTGTGGCTGACTAAATGACCTTTGCCTTTGAGTTTTTATAAAAGTGAATAACTGCAAAGATACTGGGTCGATTCATTTAAAAACTGATTCATGGACAAACAAATCATATCAAAAGAAACAGACAGCATTGAGAAATGTCTTTCCTGTGCATTTGAAAGCACACCCATTGTGGGAATACAGCACTTTATGAACTGACCTCCTCTTGAAAGAGGTTCTGCCTGTTTTTAAGGGAGCGCAGCTTGGTCTGCTTCTCCTCATGTTCTAGCTCCTCCTCAGGAGGCCGGAAATAGAATATGAGATCCTGCAGGGAGAGAACCACTGGATCCATGGGAAGGGATAGTTGAGTTGGGGTCTTGTTCTTCCCACTCAAGGAGTCCAAGCCCCTGGTGAGAGTAGAAACAGACCTCAGTGGAATGGTAACCGTAAGGCATAACTGTTTATAACACACATGGAAATATCATTAAACCCTACAGTGCAGTGCAGGGGTGGCTAATGCTGGTGGCTAATCTTATCCGCAAAGGGCCGGTGTTTGCAAGTTTTTGGAATAACCTTTAGGTCAGCTGTTCAAACCCAGGTGTGAGGACTCTTCAGCCAATCAGTCCTCTAATAAGTAATCTAATTAGGGAGCTGCAGCAAACATCTGCACACCCAATGACCCTTTCTGGATAAGATTGGCCACCCCTGGTTTAGCACGAGAGGCAGTCATACTTGATGAACTGTGTGAAAAGGCCTGTTGTGCTGTAGATAATGCGTGCAGCTTGAGACTCTTCGGTCTGAGATCGGGCCACAGTCAGGGCGTCGTCCATGTGCCCTTCCTGGTGCAGGATGGCCTAGGGGAGAAGCACAGACTGCTGTGTTCGAAGGACCACTGCCAACACACTCATATTACACCAATGGCCTTCTGTATTCTCAAAGTGGATCAGTCACTGTGATCCCATCAATCAAAACTGTTTTCATTACAAGTCCAAGTGACATTTTGCTGTTGGCACTGAGACCGTCGAATTGACATTCATGAAGCGTTTGTCCCGTTCAGCGGATGCAGAAACTGACCCCCCCGCCTCACCTTCCGTTTAAGCGGCCCCAGGCGGGCTGACTTGGCATCTACTGAGGCGTAAGTGAGCCACAGCCCGGTGGACACATGCTGCATGAAGCACATGGACTCCCCGTACTTAATCTCCGGGGTTCCCATTCCGTCCACGTCGCGCTTCTGGGCCACTTCTGTCTTTTCCTGCTCAGGAAATCATGGAAAGATTCAGGAAGGAAATAAGGAAAAAAGAAGAACAAAGGGCAGGATAAATGGACTGATCCACTTATTTACAGCTGTTTTGCCATATCGGTGAATAACTTTTGTTAGAAACACTAGTTTCATGGTATAATAGTACTACCGTATTTTCC